ACTTCAGACTGATGCTGAAGAAAATGAAAACAAGTCCATGAGAGTCAAAATATGACTTTGAATATATCCCACCTGAAGTTAGAGATCATCTGAAGAACAGATTTGATACATTAGACACTAAAGACTGAAGACCAGAAGAGTTGTGGGATGACAACAAGAACATCATACAGGAAGAAAACAAAAAGTAATTAAAAAGGAAAAGACCAAAATGGATGTCAGAAGAAACACTGAAAAATGCTTTCCAGTGTAGAGATGCTAAAGCAAATGGAAGAAATGAGGTGGTACACGAGCTGAACAGAAAATTTCAAAGGTCAGCTCGAGAAGATGAAGAAAAAATAAAGTCCATTGCTGGTGAATAAGCAATGGACTGCTAACCACAAGGTTGGAAGTGAAACCTACCAGCTTATCTGTGTGAAAAAGATGAGATTTTCTTCACCCATAAAGATTTCCTGCCTCAGAAACCCTATACAGGATCACTATGAGTCAGAATCAATTGATGGCAGTGAGTTTGGTGCCTGGTTTTGGAACAAAGATACATCAGTACTATAGCTATAATTAGGGTTACTGTTGTTATAAATCATGGTGGTATAAAGTCATTCTCCAGGATTCCTTGTTTCTGCACGGACAAAACTGGTGAACTGAAGACTTTCACTTGGGCTTGCCCACAATGATGTGGAAGCTAATATAAGGTTACTCCAACTTCCAAGTATGTCTAACACAATTACACAGCCAGGACTCGAGAAAGAACCATTGGGAAGGTCTGTGATCCTAGTGACCTATCCCACTGTGTCCAGAATCTATTTGTTACCTGGTTCATAAGATTCTTTTCTAATAGCATGGACATAAAGACACTCTGAGTCTCTTGGTATCACATGAACTCAAACCATGTATCTAATAATCCTCAAAATGTCTGGGTATGTCTTTGTCCTTAGTATTGTTGTTGTTGTTGTTGTTGTTGTTAAGTACTGTCAAGTCAATTCCAACTCATGATGATCCTGTATAAGGTTTCAGAGGCGTTGCTGGTGGATTAACAGCCCAGTGCTTATCGTATAGTGCCACAACAGACCTTGTGGTGGTTGGTAGTGGTTGCGCCAAGTCGGTTCCAACTTATAGCGATGCTGTATAGAGTTTCTGAGGTTGTAAATGGTTTTGAGGTTGTAAATGGAAGCAGAAAGATTTATCTTTTTCTTGCAGATTGACTGGTAGATTTGAACTACTGACTTTGCAGTTAGCAGTCTGATACATAACCCACTACGCTACCGAGTCTTCTTCCTCACAAGTATACTGTCATGTAAATAAGAGGTCATCAATCTCCTTGATGAAGGACTAGGGGAATTATGGTAAAACCCTATATAGGATCGCTATGAGTCGGAACCAACTCCACGGCACATAACAACAACAACAACATACATGCCAGAGTGTGTCAAGTGTCTATGATCTCCTCTCCTATCATTGTCCTAGGGCTGTAGAGGAGAGGCACCTCTGAGCTTCTCCATAGTGTTGTCACCTAACTCTGCACTGCATTCCCAAGGTCTTAATGAATGATGTATATTCTGAGTCCTCCATGGAAAAAAGTTCTCTGGTGGATACTCTAGATTTACATATCAATGACAGCAGGTCAACTTCCCTTAGCATTTTTATTCTTGTTTCTACTGTCTTCCTAAGCAATGAAAGCATTTCTATTTTGCTTATAAAGAACCATCATTTTGTGCAGACCTCTAGGAGGCATCCTAGCAGTGAGTCTGTCCTGTGCCCTAGAGTCCCAGATAGGGTGTGGTAGCTCATGTTTGGAGAAAGTAATCTCAAGTTGATGAATTCTTACTTATATAGTCTTAGGTTCTAGTCCCCTTTATGAAAATCCCAGGGGTACTCATACAGCTTCTGGAGAACCAAGTTAGGTAATTCTTGCATTTCCTTCAGGATATAAACTCTTTCTTCCATTGTCAGACTCAGAATATTCCCAGTCAGCCTATGCTGATATTCATTTTTTCTGTGATACTCCTGGCAGCCAGGAGGGAAGACAGAAGCAACTCCTGAGTCCTTGTTAGGAGGAGACCGCTTCGTATCTAGCTCACAATTATATGCTAGCTCCTTCTTCAGAAGGGTGGGCTGCCTTTGCCAGCTCTGACATTCCAAAGGCCTTACAGACCTCAAAATCAATGGTGATATCCTGCCAAATGTCCCGACGCCATGTTTTGGGCTTCCAAGTTTCCTTAACCAGAACCCTGTCCTTAAAATAACAGGTCTGCCTTGGCAGAGTATTTAAATGTCAATCAAGGTCTGTATCCCAACTATCAGATCCTAAATTAGCTCCTCAGTTGTGTCTTCTTCCCATCGGAAGAGCTAGACATGCCTTTTAAACTACCAGACAGACCTGGCTCTCACACTCAGCCTCTACCTGGCTGTTACTGGCATTCCATTCCTCACTCTCTCTCTCTGCTATTTCCCCTACATCAACCCACTAGCTAGGGCATTCAGCTCTACCTAGCCCTTATCCCAGATCAACATCGTGAAATCATTTGTCATTGGGAAGTCACCTTGTGCCAGGGACTACCCGTGCCTCATATATTATTCAGAATGAGGTTCTCCTTGCCAAAGAGGTGGTTGAGTGAACCAGTCCCCAGAGCCCCCTGGTATGCCCTGTGAAGGCTAAAAGAGAAGGAAGAAGTAGGCAGAGCCTCCAACCCATGAGACAATTCCATCCCCTGTTAAAGGAGAGAAGGAAAGAAACAGGGGGGTTGGAATAGTCTCAGATCACAGTGCAGCTCTGAGACAACCTTAGCCAGATTAACAGGCTGCTCAGAGCAAAAACTGCCTGTCAGAGGAGTTCTGCATCAGACAGGAATGGGGCAGCCCTAGGCTGTGCTCCGTCATTAGCTGGGAACAGCCTGTTGGAAGCAGGGCCTCAGTGATGGTAGCTGGGTCTGCCAATCAATTATGATTCCCATCGGAGCATATCCTTAAACCTGTAAGATAATTCTAGGAACCTCCAGTTGTTTTCCCATCACTTTTTAATCACCAGCTCAGAGATACTATTTTGAGTCCATTAATTGTATCACACCTCTCTTCTCACTGATATAACATATGGACTGTACTTCTCACCCAGTTTAGAAGCTCTACGGAATGTTTAGAGATGTTTCTGCATCTCTTTCACCTTCTCCTTAAGGAAGGCTGTTGTTGTTAAGTGCCATTGCATTGGTTCTGAGTCATAGTGACCCTGTATAGGGTTTCCAAAGAGCGGCTGATGGATTTGAACTGCCGACCTTGTGTTTTGCAGTCCAGTGCTGAGCCTACGTGTATTTATAGCATCCATTCATTGTGATCCACCGACAAAAAGGCAAGTATGGACATAAACATCTGGAGGAGTTCCCTTGGTTCCCAGATTTGTAAATTCGTAGTGTTTAGGATCTTTCCCTCAATTCCTATACGTTGTTGTTGTTGGCATGTGCTGTGAAGTTGGTTCTGACTCATAGCGACCCTATATAGGGTTTCCATGGCTGTACATCTTTACCGGAGCAGAAAGCCTCTTTTTTTTCCCGCGGAACTGCTAGTATTTTCAAACTTCTGACTTTGAGATTAGCAGCCCGACTCGTAACCACTACGCTACCAGAGCTCCTTCAGTTTCTATATGTTGTTGTTGTGGTTGTGAAGTGCCGTCGAGTCGGTTCCGACCCATAGCGACCCTGTATAGGGTTTCCGAGGAGCAGCTGGTGAGCTTGAACCACCAACCTTGCAGTTCAAACAGCTTTGCAGCCTGGCACATTAACCCACATTAACCCACACAATTCCTATATAATCACTACCAATTCCCTTCTGTTCTTGTGGAATTTCTAGGACACTGGTTTTGCATCAGTAGTAACATACAAATACTTGCTCACCAGTCCCAGACCTTTTGAGTTATTTTCCCAGGGAAGTAGAAAGTTGTATGCTATTAAATCCACACCTTCTATAAAGTTGGCTTCATGGCTAAATAGTCAGAGATGATGCGGATGATTCATCTTGTGGTGCCTCTCTCATCATTTGACTTGGGCTGCCCTCAGCACAGCTTTGGGAAAGATTCTGGATCACATGATCGATTAGTGACGTCTGCAATGGAGGAGCAGGAGAAGCTTTCTACACACACAGCATGTGTGCTCTCCCTGATGTATATAGACTGTAACTACAGAATTCAGGGGAGATGACCTGCTCACAGGAATAGTAAGCCGCTGATCTTGGCCTCAAACTACGGCCTCAGTTCCTCTGTCATTTAATCAATCTATGATAATTAAGATTACCAACCATTCACTTGACTTTTTCCAAGGCAGAGGCTGAAAGAGGAAAGGGAAAGCGAGTAGAGGAAACTGAGGTCTAAAATTGGGAGCTGAGAATTAAGAGGCACAAGTTGTAAAACAGTAATAATAATAATTAATGGAATGCAGAAAGGGGAACCTTGGGGGACTTCCCAAAGTTTTTGTTTTTTGTTTTTAAAGTCCAGGACGCCAATGTGTGGCGATTTCATGTGTGTAAGGGGTAGAATTGTGCTCCACAGGGTTTTCAATAGCTCAGTTTGGGGAAATAGATCCCCAGACCTTTCTTCAGAGCTATCACTCAGTAGACTCAAACCACCAACTTCCTGGTTAATAGTCGAATGTGTTAAGTATTTGCACTACCCAGTGACTCCTTCCCAAAGTGAACATTTTGCTTTTCTCAATTTATCCTTCATTGATTCTCAGATCATCCTTGCTTTAGTGCTGGTCTGAAATTCTTGAAACTCCTTTTCCTTGACTGAAAAGGTTGCCTATTTGATTGTTAGGATGTCCCTTCAGTCAGTACTGAAATCCTTCCTAGGTGTTTACATCTGGATAATAACAGGATTCTATCATAAAACTCAATGGATTCTTGCCTTGTCTTACTTTTCTTCACTAGTCATAGTGAGATTCCAATAAATTATATACAATTTCTGCTAGGAATTGATGAAAACTGGAAAGACATTAAAATTAACCACTGTGTGCTTTGATTAGACTCTTTGACAGGGCTGGTTAACATCTTGACAGACATTATTTGGCGATTCACTGGAGACTTCATGGCACCTGACCTGGTTTGCAGAGTGGTCCGTTACTTGCAGGTATGTAGCAACTTCACAACACGCTGAGAAAAGTTGACACCAGAGCTAGCTCTCAGATTTTTATAAGGAAAATAGTATCTCCTTGTACGCTTATGCAGCAAACTGATCACGTCCTTCTTGTTGAAAGAACAAATAAAATTTGCAAGATATTTTCACATTTTAATTTGCTCAAAATAATATACAAAATAAATAAGCTATGATACAAACATAAAACATTCATCTTCCAAGCAATAAGTGACATTTCTGGGTCAGTATTAAATTTTTTTTTTTATATATTCTGGTGAAATAATCCTCCAGAAAGTTTGGCAATTATATTCACCTAGTTTTTCTTCAAACTACCCAATACACACTAGTGTTATTTTTTTTAAAGCTTTGTCATTTTGTTAGAAAATCGGTGCTTATTCCTGATATTTTAACAAGCATTTTATTTATTACCAGCAAAATTGCCTTCTTTTTTTTTTTCCAATATTGGTTGGCATTTGCATTTCTTTTTCTCTAAATTGCCTGCTAATATACTTTTATAAACTGGAATTATAAAAAATAAGTCTTCTTACTTACTGGTGGACTGGTAGATCTGTTTTTAGATGAAAGGTAATTTTACTTTGTCATATATGCTTTGATATAAGTTGCATACATGTGCTTTATATGCATGTATATTTACTGTGTATGTGTATTTAATGTAGAATATTGATGATGGTGGTGTAGTGATGCAGGATAATGCACTGGACCTCAAGGTCAGTTTCACTGTAAATCTTGACAGCATCCAAAAGCCTCATCTGTCTCCCACAGAGCGGCTGGTACATTTGAACTGCTGACCTTTCAGATACATATTAATATAACATTATATACCATATACATGTAATATAGATGCAAGGCATTTCAACTTAGTTTGAATGGATCCTTTCATACTGGTTTGAAGAGTAATGTGTTCTGTGTCTGAGTTTTTAAAATTTATTTCTTTAATGTGTATCTAAATTATTATAAATTTATAACGCATCTCTGAAAAACTTTGCTCTACTAGACTCTATTTGTTATTAGGAATATTTGGACTCTTTGCATCTATATTCATGAGTGAGATTATGGTTTCCATTTATTTTCTCACTTTCAGATCTTAGTAATGGAGTTGTCTTATCTTCAAGAAATGAATAGGAGGTGTTAACAGTCATCTTTTGTGCTCTGCACATAACCTTGAGAGTCTGATAGATGTAAAAATCCCAACCATCGGGGCTGATATTTTCTAGAGTGTAATTATTTGTTTCTTAATTTCAACTTCTTCTTAAGGATTTTTGCTTTCTTGTAGGAAAATGTTCTCAATTGCTTATTGCATTACTAATTAATTGTAAGAAATGAGTTTTCACAAAACTTACTGGAGTGGTTGTAATATATACACAGTTGTTGTTAGGTACCATCAAGTCGGTACTGACCAATAGCAACCTTATGCACAGCAGAATGAAACACTGGCCAATTCTGGGCCAATCTCACTACTGTTGCCACACTTGAGTCCATCAATGCTGCCACTTGGCCAATCCATCTCATTGGGGGTCTTCCTCTTTTTCTCTGACCCTCCACCTTAGCAAACATGATATCCTTCTCTAGCAACTGGTCCCTCCTGACAGTGTTTGTTTTATGGTGTTGGCAAAAAAATATTGAAAGTATTGTGGACTGGACTACTAAAAGAACAAACAAATTTGCCTAGGAAGAAATACAGCACGAATGTTTCTTAAAAGCATGGGTGGTAAGACTTGAGTATTTTGGGCAAGTTCTTAAGAGGGGAAAGTCCCTGCAGAAAGACATCGTGCTTGGAAAAGTGGAGCGTCAGTGAAAATGAGGAAGAACCCCAACAAGATAGACTGACACAGTGGCAGCAAAGATGATGAACTAATCATCACAATTGTGAGGATGACACAAGATAGGGTAGTGTTATTTTCTGCTGTGTGTAGGGTTACTGACTTGATGGCACCTAACAACCACAATAGCAATGTAGGCTGTTAATAATCAGGTAAACTGTTCAGGACCAGGGTAGAACAATATGAGAACTCTGCAATGTCTGCGTGATTTTTCTGTAAATCTAAAAACATTTCCAAAATTTTAAGACTATTAATGTTTTTCAAATGTCAGTCTAGGAAATTGTCTTTAGAAAAACAAAATCTGGAATTTGCTAAGTAAAATCTCTTGAAGTTCCCTGTGTTTGAGTCTCACTTCTCCGTGCAGAATTTCCTTTGGATTCATATTTCCTAGGTCATTTCTGTCAAAATCGAGAGGTGGGGTAGTGAGAATCCAGACATATGTCCTTAAACTTCCATCTGTTCTCCAAATGGCATCCCATATGTTGTTGATGTGTAGAGTTTCCATTGTTGACAGTTACAAATTGACTATAATTGTACTTTGATTTCCTTTTTGACTTGAGTTAATTATGAGCGTGTTTAAATTTCCAAGTAGTATTAAAATAATTTTACTAATTCCAGATTTTATTCCTTCCTGGTTTAAATATATGATTTACATAAGTTCTACTTTGGGGAATTTATTGAGATTTTGCTTGGTGGTTTAAACATAACCAATTTTTGTAAATTTTCTCTAGATAGTTCACAGGAATGTTCTCTTATAGTACACAGCCTGTTTAATCTTTTTCTACACATTTTTGCTGTTCCTGCCATAAAACCTTGAAATATTTCATATACATTTTGTGTTATACTACTTATTACATAAAAGTTTATGACTATTCTTAAACTTGTACACTCACACTGCCTTAACATGTATTTTTATCAGTATAAATAATATCTTCACCTCATATAATTTGTCTTAAATTTTACATTAACAACAATATTGTGATAAGTACTTCCTTTTAATTTTTGCTTGCATAACATCATTGGCCATCACTATTTTTAAATATCAATATCATTTCATTTCTGATGTATCTCTACTAAAAGGTATACAGCTGGATTTGGAGAAGACTTTGAAAACAGTGTTTTTTTCTTTGAAGGAGTTTAAGCCATTCATATTTATTGTGGCAAATAGCATTTGGGTTATTTCCGTCACCTCATTTTAAGTTTCTGGTGTTAAGGTTTTCTTCCTGCTTGCTTGTTTTTCTATTTTGCTTGATCATGAACTATGGCAGGTTAAAAATTATATATTATCCTCCAAAAGATGTGGCATAGTAGGATAAAGCACTGGACCGAAAAGTCAGTTTGCACCTCAATGTTAGCAGTTCAAACCCACCAGCCACTCTTTGGAACCCCTATACAGGGTCACTATGAATTTGAACTGACTCCATGGCACTAAACAACAGAAGATATCCACTTCCTTATCCCCGGAGCCTATGCATGTTATTTGTATATGGCAAAAAGAACTTTGCAGATATGATTAAATTAAAAGACTTGAGCTGGGCAGATGATACTGGATTTTTTTGGTGGTTCCTAAATGCAATCACATGCCTATAAGAAGGAGGCAGGAGGAGAGATAAAATACAGGGAAAGGTGGGGAAGGAGAGCTAATCACAAGGTACAGATTAGAGAGATAACATTAAATAACGCCAGCAGCTGGAAAAAGCAAGGAGGAATTTTTTCCTAGAGTCTGTGATGAGGGTGTCCTGGCCAACACCTTGATTTTGGACTCCCCACCTCCAAAATTGTGAGAGAGAAATTTCTGTTTTGTTAAGCCACCAAGCTTATTCAAATTTATTCCAGCAGCCACAGAAAAACAATACATTATTTTTTCCAGATTTATTTTATACCATCTTAGTTTAATTTTTTTAATTAAACTTTTTAAAACTAAAATTCTATCTCTATCAAAATCAAAAACATGAGATATCTTAAATGTGAAATTTAACAAGATTTCCTTCCTTCACTCTTTCTCCTCACTTAACTACCTTGATTTTTATCTGAAATATTCCATAACTATATTCATAGTCATTTTGTAGCAACTTATTTTTTTTCTGCTTTCATAGCTTATAATAACTGTTATCCTTCTATTTTAATGACTATTATTTATCTATGTCCTTCCCTCTTCTTGACTTCTAATTTTGAAACAATTAGAACTGTTCTAAATCCGTTAAAGTGTTTCCTCCAAGAAGATTTTCAAAAGAAACATGGCATGTTATATTTTCTTCTTTCTAATACATCCAAGAAAAGTATTCTGTCTCTTGGCACAGGAATGATAGCCACACAATTCTTGGACCATAATTTCTCCTTTTCTTTCAAAGCTCTGTACATACTGTTAACTGTTTTCTGGCATTTATTATTGTGTAGAAAAGACATGGCAATTTGAGATGCATTTCTCATCAGTAACCTTTACTTTTTTTATCCTGTCGACATGTTGGAAGTTGTTTAACTCCTGAAATTAGATACCCATACTGATTGTGTCTAAAGGCAGATAATCCTTTCACTAATGTACTGCTCCTCCTACTGCTCTTGAGTTTGAAGTTGTGTTTACACCTCACTCAGAGGAGCGCAAGGAGCTCTGGTAGCATAGTGGTTACGAACCAGACTGTGAACTGCAAGGTCAGCAGTTCAAAACTACCAGCCGCTCCACGGGAGAAAGATGAGGTTTTCTGTTCCTATAAAGATTTACAGACTCGGAAATCCTGTTCAGGGTCAGTATGGGTCGGAACCAACTCGACAGCACTTAACAACAACAGAGGAGCCCAGATTCATGGCCTTCCCACCATGACACCCGACAATTGGTGTGCTCTTTCTCCTGTTTCATGGATCTATCCACTAGGTACCGATATTACTGTGTGTGACCAGCCTGAACGATTTTGAATCTATGAAGCATTCATCGAATATCCATTTTTCTCTAAGGAGACAATTGCCTTATTTATTTCTTCAACTTGACCACCCCTCTTCTTTCTTGCCTTTTATCACATTTTTTGTTTGTTTTGCAAAGGGGAGGTACATGCTTAAGTATATAAGGAGTCTTCAATCTCTCATCAGTCCCCATAACCCCTCCCTGTGGCACCTTCCACAACATTGTTGTGAGAATGTATTTTAGGTAGTGTAAAAGGAATAAAAACAATACAGAACAACAATATAGTTGATTGTTATTTGAGCCAGTAAAAGAACACAAAGGTACAAATTCAGAACAAAGGTTACTGTCAAAGTCATGTCATTTTGGTTTCCCTTTAGATAGAAGTCAAAGACTTTCACTTAGACTCCAGTTTTCTAGTTACTCTTGCACATTCTCTGGGTTTGACCCTTAGGTTATAAGGTAGAGATATAACCAGACTTTTGAAAGGAATGAGTCTTCAACTAGTCTGAAAAATTGGCACTTTGATCATCCTTTCATGGACATTTTATTTAATTATATTTTGAATATGTTCTTCACATAAAAGATATTAGCCTTTTACACCCTAATTTCCTTATCTCCAAAGTATGCTAAACATACTACACAAGATAATTAAAGGGCATGGGGAAGATTAACAAAGAGAAAGTCCAAGAAAGAAAAGGAATTCCAAAGATAGCCCGACTGAACAGTCTTGCTAGAGAAGCTAGAGAAGTGGATGAGAAACAGGAACCAGTGCTGATAATTATAACTGACTCTAAAGTGTTTATTGTTAAGTTGTTTAGTGCCATCGAGTCGGTTCCAACCCGTAGCAACCCTGTATAGAGTTTCCCAGCAGCAGCTGGTGAACTTGAACCACCGACCTTGTATTTCAAACGGCTTTGCAGTCTGGCACATTAACCCACACCTTGAAATCCCCCAATCTATTTTATCTCTCAACAGCTCTCACCAATAAAAAGCAAATGAACTTTTATTTCTAATTATACTGGAATGTCAGTTGTGCTGGAAAAAATTAGCTTAGCTTTAAAAGTCAATTACAAACAAATGTACCATGCAAATGTCAAGAGGGCCCAATCCAGAAATGCAGGGTTTACAAGTAGCCAAGTGAATGAAGGATCAAGGAAGAGCTGGGAGCATTCTCACCTGACAAAGCTGCAATGCAAATGCAGCTCCAAGAATAGAAATCTACTTCTTGGCTTTGGAACCAGTCATTCTTATCTCTAGTCCAACCTTCACTTGGCTCAGTGCCCAGGTTTCTAAATACAACACAATGCTATTGTCTCAATGATGGGCATACTCTCATGTCTGGGAAGTCATGAACCTCCTTTCCATTCTGTCTTCAGGTTGTACTGCTCTACGCCTCCACCTACGTCCTGGTGTCCCTCAGTATAGACAGGTACCACGCCATCGTCTACCCCATGAAGTTTCTGCAAGGAGGTGAGCTGGGTTGATCACAAGGTGTTTAGTGAGGAGTCATCCTTGGGTGAAGGTGGGATTTCATTAACATCTTCTGAAAATATATACAGCAGAGCATACACCAGTCCAATAGTTTCTACAGGAAAAAATCAGTGGCATTTATTAAATTTTTCAAGTTGGGCAATTCTCACTATTCTTTTGAAGTTGTTCCTCCCCCATTAATATAAACTTGCTGCCCCATAGGTGTTCTATTTGATCTTTCAAGTTGCTGTAGTAAATTTGAACCCATATCAGGAAATCTTTTAAAAATGCAATGCTCAAGGCAGACATTCTTTAATAGGTAAGATAAATTATTAACAGAGTTTAAGAAAACGTCTGTTCAAAAGAAACCAAATAAAACAAAAACACTGACGTCGAGTTGATTCCAGTTCATAGTGACCCTATAAAACTGCCTCTAGGGTTTCCAAGACTATAAGTCTTTAAGTTAGCAGACTGCTCTGTATTTCCCCACGGAGCTGTAGTCAATTCCAACACCAGCCTTTCAGTGAGCAGTTGTGTCCTTAGCCATTAAGCCATCTGGGTCCCTTAAGAAGACACTGGACTGCTAACTGTAAGATTGGCTTTTCTAACCCAACAGCCGCTCTGTAAAAAATGAGAATTTCTGTTCTAGTAAAGATTTACAGGAAACCTTGTTGTTGTTGTTAAGTGTCGTAGCAACCCTACACACAACAGAACGAAACACTGCCTCGTCCTGCACAATCCTTGTAATTTTTGGTACATTTGAGTCCACTGATGCTGCCACTGTGACAGCCATTCCATTGGGGTCTTCTTCCTTTTCATTGGCCCTCTTTACCAAACATAATATCTTTCTCCAGGGACTGGTCTGGAGTATGAGTGACAAAGTCTTACTATCCTTCTGTTGTTGTTGTTGTTGTTGTTGTTGCTAAGTGCCTTCGAGTTGGTTCTGACTTGTGGTGACCCCTCTATAGGGTTTCCGAGGAGTTTGAACTGCTGACCTTGCGGTTTAAACAGACCTTGCGGTCCAGTGCATTATCCCACAGTGACACACCACAGCATCCTTTTATATGAGTCAAAATTAACTCCATAGCACTGGGTTATTTTCAAGAAATCTGTTCTTAATAATAGTTCTCGAACTCTCCTCTCTCCTCTGCTTTTCCCCTCCTTATTATTCTCCTTTATCCTTCTCCCCACATCATGGGTCTGGTTGTCCAAAAGATGTGGGGAAGAAAGTTTGGGTGCCTGGAAAAATGCTGTTGGTTCCCATGAATAGTCCAAAGCCACTAAGGAAAATGATTTGCTTGGCTTACTTTGTGACCATTCGCCTGGACGTTAACACTCTTCCACCCACTTTCCTTTGTGGCAGTATTGTCACACAAAAAAACCTTCCCAAGAAATTAATATCCCACTTTCAGTTTCTGATTTTCTAGAAACACACTTCTTTGCCCTCCTTCCTCACAAGTCCCAGAAATGATAGAAAATAATTTTAAATTGATAACCATACTAGGAAATAAGAAGGAAAAGCCTCCTGGATCTAGAACCAGTTAGAGAATCTATGAATGTAGGAAACATAGGGGTCTGAGGGAAGGCTGAAACCACACAGGAAATGCCCACAATGCCCACAGACGATACTTCAGTGATGCAGAGTTATTGCAAGTGCTTCCTGAGTAGATGGAGTGAATGACAAATGGTCCAAGGTGATTCTTGCAGCACAATGAGAAGAGTAAATCAGTGTGTCCTCCCACACCCCAGACAAGCAATAGGGTATCTGCTTCCGAGTGGTAGGATGCTGGATTTAAAGAAAAAGAACGAACTCTTGGGAAAATATGACTTCCTGGAGGTCTGGTGGGTACCAGGTCACAAGACTAGCTCCCTAGTTACACTGCTCACTTGCCTCCATGCCTCTGGCAGCTCACAAGAATACCAAGTTTAGTGACCTGCCTCTCCCTTCTAGCATCCTGTGAAAACTGATCAAAGGAAGTCCTAACAGGAAGTCTTGAATGCCTGGTGAGGTGCAGTAATGTCAGCACTGGACTGTGAACTACAATGTTGGTGCTTCAAACCCATCAACTACTTCTCAAAAACCCTATACAGGATCTCTATGAGCTGGAACTTACTTGGCAGTACTTAACAACAACAACAGGGAACCTTGACTACAAAGATGGAATCAAATCACCTGAAACTGTGGCAGTAGTCAACACTGTGGGGAAAAAAGAGATACTAAATTTAAATTACCATTCCACATAACTTACATCTAAGGAAACAAAGTTAATAGAGCAAGCAGACTAAGACTTTGGAATGCATATAAATAATGCCATCAGGGAACTGCAAGAAGATGGGAAGATGTGCCAGTTAAGGTTACTATTGGTGACGCTGTCAGTTAGTGCAAGTACCTTAAAGAGAAAGTGAGCTGTATAGATGAAAATGTAAAAATGCGTACACCTTTGACACAGAAACTCTACTTCTTTGTATCTGCACTCATAAGCACTCATGTGTGTGCAAAAGGAGACAAGTGAACGTATAAATATATTGTATATGACAGAATTGCTCAGAATAGCACAATTTCAAAGCTCTCCGTTGTGTCCCTCAGTGGAGAAATAACTAACTATCTATGGTAGAAGTTTCAGTAACTTATGTTCAGTAAAGAATGCACTAAATACTAAGTCAATAATGAACAAGAAAGACCAAAAAAGAATTGATGTCTTTGAACTATGGTGCTGCTGAAGAATATGAAATATGTCATGGACTGCCATGCTAGTGTTTTGTTCTCTGCTGTCTATTTGGTTCCTATCCATAGTGACCTTAAATAGGGTTTCCAAGAAATAACTGGTGAGCTTGAACCACCAACCTTGTGGTTCAAACCAACTTTGCATTCTAGTGCATTAACCCACAGCGCCACACCAGGACTACCATAAGAAGGAACAAATCTGTCTTGGGGGAAATACAGCCAGAATGCTCCTTAGAAGCAAGGCTAGCAAGACTTCATCTCAAACACTTTGGACCGTTATCAGGAGGAGATAGATATCTTATCTGGAGAAAGATATCTTACTCTTTGTAAAAAAAGAAGACCGTCGATGAGACAGATTGGCACAGTGGCTGCCACAGTGGGCTCCAATAGAGCAAGCATTGTAAAGATGGCACAGGACTGGATGATGGCTTAGTCTGTTGTGCATAGGGTCACTATGAATTGGAACCAACTCAACAAAACCTGACCACAACAATGTTCATTGAGTGCATACCTTGGTGGTGCAGTGGTTAAGTACTCTCCTGCTAACTGAAAAGTCAGTGGTTTGAGCCCACCAACTGCTCTGTAGGAGGCAATCTTCTCTCATAAAGGTTACAGCCTTCAAAACTCTCTGCGGACAGTTCCACTCTGTCCATTAGTGTTGCCATGAGTTGGAAGTTACTCAACAGCAATGAGTAGATACTGCATAGCCTGAAAGATTAGAAGAGATGTGCATAGTGCAGGAGGGAATAAAAGAGATGGAATAATAATATCGTGAAGTGGGTGGAAGCCAGGTGGGATCAAATGTGCTTGGCAACCACAAAACCACAAAATCAAACCCACTACCATCAAGGAGCTCTGGTAGCATAGTGGTTATGAACTGGGCTGCTAATCTCAGGATCAGCAGTTCAAAACTACCAACTGTACCAAGGGAGAAAGATGAGGCTTTCTGCTCCAGTAAATATTTACAGCCTCGGAAACCCTGTACAGGGTCTCTATGAGTCAGAACTGACTCCACGGAACATAACAACAACAACCATCAAGTTGTGGGTTAATGCACCTGACTGCAAAGCTGTTTGAACTGCATGGTTGGCGGTTCAAGCTCACCAGAACCTCCTCGGAAACCCTATACAGGGTCTCTATGGGTCAGAAGTGACTGGACGGCACTTAACAACAACAACAACCATCAAATTGATTCTAATTCTTAGCAACTCAGTAGGACAGACTGAAACTGCCCCCTTAGGGTTTCCAAGACTGTAAATTTCCACACTATTGGTGGGTTCCAACTACCTGCTTGAGGTTAGCAGCCCAATAGTTACCCCACCTCACCATCAAGGCTCCTTCCAGCAGCACATGACAATGGCAATTAAACTAAGGGAAAGAGAAAAAGGAGGCCATAACTCCATTTTTACTAAATAGTAATTTCTTTCATCAACAACTCTACAGAAGTTGACAGTTTAAGGTTTTTTAGAGAAATATAACTCTGGCAATAATTAGGGAAATGTGACCAATAATGAAGAGAGTGCTGCAGAGTCTGTTGTTGTGAAGTCCCATCGAGTCGATTCCCACCCATAGAGACCCTGAATAGGGTTTCCAAGGAGCAGCTGGTGAGCTTGAACTGCCAACCTTACAGTTCAAATGGTTTTGCAGTCTGGCGCATTAACCCACAGCGCCACACCTGCACTCCTCTGCAGAGTCTTGGTGCTGTTGTTGTCATGTGCCATCGAGTCAGAACCGACTCATAGCGACCCTATGCACAGCAGAACAAAACAATGTCCAATCCTGGGCCAACCTCACTACCGCTGCCACACTTGAGTCCATCGATGCTGCCACCTGGCTAATCCATCTCGTTGGGGGTCTTCCTCTTTTTTCTCTGACCCTCCATCTTACCTAGCATGACATCCTTCTCTAGCTACTGTTCCCTCCTGACAATATGTCCAAAGTATGAGAAATGGAGCTTAGCCATCCTGGCCTCCAAGGAGCACTCTGGCTGCATTTATTGGTTCTTTTGGCAGTCCATGGCACTTTTTGTATTCTCCTACAACACCACAACTCAAAGGCATCAATTTTTCTATGATCTTCCTTATTCACTGTCCAGCTTTCGCATCCATATGAGGTTATTGAAAATAC